AACCTTAAAAAATATGTTAGTATTGGAAAAGAGAATTAAGAATGGCATCCCAGAAAAAGAGCTGTAGAACCCTTGATTTTCATCTCACATGCTTTTAAAAATACCGTTAGTTGCTTATTTTCTGCCAAGTACCTAATTACCTTTAAAAATCTAGCCCTGCACTGCTAAAGCTCTTGAGCGGTCGAGGTATCAACATCACTCATCATTAGGAAGATAATTTTAATGATGAAAGCATTGCTAAAAGTTCTTTTAAAATTCATTTTTACTTTAACTTCTTTAGAGATGATTTGTTTGAGTACCTGAGATACAGTAACTAATCACTGATGGTTTTCTTTGCAAATAATAAAATAGATTTATATGCCCTCCCCGTAGGAACAAGAATTCCATCACCTCCTCCTGAATTTCTGAGCTATCGAATATTTGATGAGTGCTTAGGGAATCAGTATTGTGTCTTTTCACAGCAGTAATCAAGGAATGAAGTATTCTCCGCTGTAATGAATCTACCGCAGGCCCCAAAGATGAATATTTCAAATGCAAAAGCAATATGTTTGTTTTGAACACACTTAAGTTTGGCTTTAATAAAGCGAGTAGTGAAGTGTGCAGTGAATGACATTGTTAGATGGTTAAAACAGAGCCGTGCAATATGTCTGGATGCATTTAATCCAAGTAACCACCCATTCCAAATGTGACTTGTAAATCTGTGTTACACGTGTACCTATGAACGGATGACTTGCAAACTGCTAAGGGATCTGGGCCTTCCCTTCCACTCCCACCTTGGCTCAGAACGGGCTCAGCCTGACAATTAACCGAGGCCCTGAGCCACAACATCATGAAGTACAAGCCAAACCTCACGCGGGCTGGTGTCGAGCACGTGCACCCCCTGTTCCCGTTAGGTGCACATTCAACCTCCTCCACCAACACTACTTTCTCCCGCAGAAACACCAAGTAACGCCAGTACTGACAGGAACAGTCATTCTGTTTTCCTCCGAAACACTCGTCAGGACCCAAAGAGAAATCATTGGCATTACCTCGGATTTTAGCTAAAATAACAAACAAGTTCTCTTTAACAACAAACACCCCAGAACTTTTTGACTCACACTGCTGTTTAATAACCTGATCCTCTCTCCTTCTTGAAACACACTGAATTTTTTCTACAGACACTCACACTTAAAGCAAAAAGCCATTTTTCCCACTGATTCCCCGACCCTCAGTGAAGCACACTTATGGGCCTTAACACCCATTACACCTGACACCAGCAGGCTGCAGTTCCCTTCTCTCCTCTGCAGCTTGTTCCAGCTGAATAGCTTTTAAAATAATTTGAACTAAAAAGATCAGAGCTGCCTAAAGTCACTTTGCTCCTCTCTTACTGCGGCCCCAGCGAGGACAAGAGAGATCTTGGAGGAAACACCACGGCATGGTGCAAGCTTTTGTGTGGTGCTTCCCAGTGAGGCGCATCATTCTGCCCCAAATACACAGCTACAGAACCAAAGTCTGCAGGAATTTTCAGCAGCACTCCCCTGTACGTACAACAGACCCCGGCTCGACGCTTGAAGCGATGCTACAGTCAGAAAAGGGACCGGGTAGTATCATGGGACTCTTTTCCTCACCATACCTGTTCATTTTACAGCTCGTACTCCAATGCAAAAACCAGCTTTCAGAGCATGGCTAGAGATTTCAGGGCAGCTCATCTCATTTGCAAATTGAGAATACCCTCCATAGAGTCCCCACGGGGCTATTTTATGAGATCCTCCGAGGGTCTAGCCACAACGAAATACAGAGATGAGCAATTTTAGCCCTTTGTATAGTCAAGAATTGACTCCTGGTTTTAACTAGTCATTTTTTTTCATTTGTTAGGTCAACTGAACTGCAGCATGCAAACAGAAATAGAATTTATCAGCAGAGTTTACATTGAAAGCAATGAGAAAAGCATAGATTTAATTAGCAATTACAACAAAGTTCCAAGTGCTTCAATTATCCAAGTTCAGAACCAATGTACTTTACCTGGAAATTACCCCTGAAACAGTGAATTCAATAAGGAAAATTCTTATATAGTCCAAGTTAAATTATTTAAAAAGGAGGAAAGAGGGTTCTTAATTATTTAATGTTTCACCAATAATTATATAGTTCAGTATAATGTTCACTCACTGGAGAACCTGATTTTCAAAGGAACATTTGTGAACATCAGTCAAACAAAAAACACCTGCCAGTCTATAAATTCAGTCAGTGCCACACACATTCATTCCAACACAGCATTAACCTATTAGCAAAAATCCAAGTCTTGACTTAATGGCAAGCCTATCCAGTAATTTCTGTGTTAAAATATTTACATAGAAAAGCACGCATAATTCAGTTCTCTAATGTATTTATCAAAAACGGTATAACCACTATTGCTGCCATGTTTTAAAGCTGTGTTCTAGAGCCGGGGCTACAGTTCTGGAAAACAACAAACTATGAAATTAGTACTTGGATAGTCAAAGCTGCCAATCAAAATGTGGCCATGGACATCTTAGGGACATTTCATTCCAAAGTTAGTAAGAATCCATTTTCAACGACAGCTTTTCAGTCACTTGCATGAACTACTAGCCACGGTAAGCTTATCCGCCCGGCACCCTGGGGAGAAAGGCTGAAGGAACACCGAGTATTTCTGAACGAAACTGCCTGTAAAGGCTTTTCCAAGCCATGGTTCACCAGCTCCAGCAGACGGTACACAGCTCAGGGCAATGAATGGCACCTTGCTCTAACACAGTACGGATCTGCAAAGGATTACCATCATCCGTTAATAGTGCCACGTACAAAAGCTCAACATCTACGGGAGAAACTCCACAAAACCCTCAGAACAGCAGCTGCCACGCTGAAGTCCCTGGAGTTTACTTGCACGGGCCGGAATTCAGCACGTGCCCTTCCAGAATGGGGACTTGGGGCTCTACAAATCTTCCGTGGCAGCTTTCCATCTAGGAGAACTACCCAGAAGGAAGACCTGATACACCCAGGAGTTTAAGGGAATGCCACCAATCTATCATTTCAACCAAGGCAAGGAAAAAAATACCAAAAAAAAAAAAAGTGCCATTTCTTTGCAGCCCCACAAAGCAGGTTGTCCCTGGGTCACTTTGTCAAAGAATTACCTTACCCCCAACTTTCTGGAAGAGATCAGGGACTGTTTAGCAGTAATGGCTTCAGATTTCATGGCTCCTGGAGCAAAGGAGCCCAGCTGCACCATCATCCAGACTTTACAGCCTAATGTCCTGTGGCCTGCAGGGCTAAAAATGATGAAAAGTATAGATTTCTGCTTCCCTGAGGGGACCGCAACACTCGGTTGTGGTCTTAAAGAGCCTGAGGTCTCTTACAATCAAAGATGGGGTTTTTTTTAACAGCATTACAGAGTATTTTAGGTTATTTTTAGTGAGTTTAATGGCTCCCTTGGAATCATGCAAAGTGGGACTTGCAGTTAGTGCAGCACCTGGCTTTGCAGGTGGGGAATACAAAACAGACCCACTATGATTTTAAGATCCTCTAAAACCAGAGTTTATGGAATAAACGTCACATACAGACTAGGAAATGGTGCGACCTGGGGCACTGCTTCACATGGTTTATGTGAAGCACGTCAGGGTAATTTAGCAATTAAATTCCAGACAGGCGATGCCCCATCACGTCTTGTACACCACGGCGTAGCACATGCTCCTGACACGGCACGCGCACCGAGTGTGCAGCTCTCCACTGCCGTATAAATCAACTCACCGTGTCTTTGGTTGTTCTGTTTCTAAACTTCTTCCTTGTAAGGCCAAATTCAATTTGCCCAATGCTTCCCACAGCACATCAAGATTAAGAAGTCTGGGGAATCATCCTGCTATGCCACTGTGAATTATCGCAGCTCCACCAACCTCACCCTAACACGAAACGCCACAGATGTGCTCAGAATTCAACAGCGATGAATTTAACATGCCTACTTCCACTAGCCTGATGTCAGCAGAGTTACAGCAATTTATGCAATACAAGGATCTGTCCTTTTCTCCTTATCAAAGCATTTGATCAAAATCAGTGACATGGAAAAAGACAACCTTACTTAATTTGAGCAGGAAAGTCAGGCTTGTCACTCTAACATCATAAGAAAAAGGGAGGTATTTACATATGGGTATTTGCATATTCTTTTTTATCTGGCTTCACAAAGATAACAGTAAGATCATTTTCTTCCACAGTAAAAGCTAGCATGAAGCATCACAGAGGACCATCATTTTCCCTTGCTCTTCCTTCTCTTTTGAAAAATCAACACCTTGAGATATTTCAAAATCCCCATTAGCCACTTCTCTGCTTGCAACAGCCTGGGGGCACAGAGTCACTCCAACTCCCTCCGCTGGATTTGCCCAGAGGGAAACCTCCATCTCTGATGCACGATGGCAGAAAGCCCACGCGGCTTGACCTGCCAGCCATCGCGAGCAGCAGCCTCTGCCCCACACCGCGGCCCTCGAGCCTGTCCAACCAACAGATGCGCTAACCGAGCAGCCGCGCTCTTGAGGATGCTTCTTAAAAAAGGGGGATGCATAAATTCACTCATTTGGAAACCTGCTCTGTTCAAGAACTTGTTACTATGACAATTTAGAAGCAGCTGCTACAGATAAGATTGATGAAACTTATTGATTAATTTTCTCTCCAGCTACGTTTGAATTTTAAGTTTTCTCTAAACAGAGCCAGTTCAGTTGGTTTTAGCATTCCGGGGACCCTAGCACTGTGTTTCAGCAGCGAAGGAAGTTCCATGATAAATGTGTTCTCCAAACTCCATCCGTAAAGAAGCAATAAAATCAGAACAATTCATGCAGAATTTTTCATTACGTTTCTAAATATACTTATTTACATTTTAAATCACACTTAGACAATATGAAATATCTTTCACTTAGACAGGTGGGAACAAGAAAACAGATGCATCTATTAAGCTTGAAACAATTCAACAAATTAAATAGTACTTGGTGAATGCTTTGTTTATGGATATAGCCCTTGTTTAAACTTACTTGAAAAAACACAGCCATGGCTCCCACTACCCTGTTTTCTAGAACTGCTGTTCCAAAACTGTCAAAGTCATCAGGATTGTAGAAGTAAATCTGCATCTGTAAAAATTAAAAACAACAACAAAATCACATTAGTGTTGATTCATACAGATTTCAAATGAGGTAATGCATACACGTCGTACATAAACCCAGTGTTATGAACCCGAGATAAAGGAATTCTGCTGAACAATACTGTTTAACTAGCATCTTGATTAATAGCATGACTGCCCTACTGGGACAGCAACCAGGGAACAGAGTCAACGCGATGCATTTTAATAACAAACCCAAGGATAAACAGTATGGCCACTCTGTTTAGATGGTAAACTTTGTGCCTTCTGCCAGGATCTCTTCATTTCTTTGCTCACTGCAGGCTCATCCCCTGCTCTGTTAAATGTGCTAAACCTATTTATCTCAAAAACATAGAGAATTTTTGAAAAGGATTTCAACGTTTAGAGCTATTCCTTTACTCCTAAAGCAATTTGTAAGATAAAAGTCTGTCTCTGTAGCAATGCATTTTTATGAGCCGCTGATATTCAGGACTATCAGTTAGGGTCAGACGTCTCCCTGACTTCAGTTAAATTTCACGACTTTTATTTCCAAAGCATTAGTACTCAGCAAAAACTGTAAGTGAGACAAACCCAGATATTTTGATGCCATTTTAGGATGAACAGTAAATAATAATTAGGCAAACCCAAAGTGAAAGCAGGTAAGAAAAATGATTACCCCAAAGAGCAAGTGTCTGAGTTACACAAATATAGGGGGACCGAGAAGTAGCTTCCTTCCTACGCCCTGCTGTCGGACAATGCTTCACTACACACACCCCGTGAGCAAGGAAGGGCAACTCAAAGAAGGCCGTAGGTGCTACTGCTCTGAATTCCTGTATGGTTCTTGCTCCATTTTCCGCATTAGCTATGCTCCCACTTCCGCCAGCCGCCCTGACACCCTGCTGTTTCCCCAGCAGTCGTTCAACCACCCCATTCCCAAAGCAGCCCCTCGTGTCAGCCCACCTGTATCAGCCACAATTTGCCCTGAAGTATCCAATTCACATCAAAAAGACTCAATGCCCCCTTCTCAACATCACTTCCATGCAGGTGTGCACATTTTCACAGAATAAATTCAGTACTGGTAACATCTGTGCTCTGTGTGCTCTACACATCACAAATTAAGAACTTGTGCCTGAGGGAAACGGCCAAGCACAAGAACTGGGATTTGCAGCAGTCGCTCTTGGGGCCATTCAGGGATCCTCCCTGATGGATTTCGCAGTCCAAACCAGCGCTGGTGCATCTGCGGAGGCAACGCTACTGCAAGACGGTGGGCCAACGCATACGATCACTCATGCACGCTGAATCCAGCAAAAAAACCTGTTCCTGGTGATGAAACAGGAACCATCGGGTTCCTCTTGCCTGCACACTCACTCCTGCTTCTCTGCTGCCCATCACCTGTTACCTGACCTATTCTGGCTTTTCAGAGCCTTTCTAGGTGATAAGAAACAGCCACACCAGTCAAATGGAGATGTACGGTCTACCCAAGACTGCCCATGCCTCCCGACACACTGTTGGCCTGACCACCTCTCCCTCCTGCAAGTCCATCTGCAGGCAAACACTATGCTGGCACCTTCTTTGGGGCTGTTTGGGTTTTTCCAAGACTGTGCTACATTATGAATCCTACCATATTCAATAATGCGAGTATTTTTCCCATATTCTGAAATTTTGTATATTGCCAGATGAGATGATACCCTTTATCTTGCTCAGGTATGTTCCTTCTCACATTTACTGATTCCCAGGCTTCTGACTTTAAATGTTGGCTGTAATGTACGATACTGGCAAGTGCATATGCATCTAATAAAATATCACCATAGAGAGAAAGGGCCAAGATGAAGAACAGAGGTAGGAGTACTTTTTTCAGCTGGAGGATAAAGTAAGACCACACTCCACATGGCTCACAAAAAATGAAAAAATTGTCTGGCACTCACTCTAGCTTCATAAAATTTGAAAGCAATTTTCTCCCCCTATTTTGGCCTTCCAATTCCCAGCGTATTCACAGAACACACAGGGATGCTGGCAATATCTCACAAAGTTGGTGGTGCCTCCAGGTTCTGACAACTCGTGCTTTGAACAAATGTAGACTGAGGTACAGCCATTCATTGACGTAGAAATTAGAAACAGTTTGTTTCGGGTAGAATTGCTTAAACTTCAGTTTACCCAGCACAGACAAAAGCTCACAAAACACTCAAAAATTACATTTTATTCCCCTTTAAAATGAACTCTAAAATTAGGCATACCTTATACAAAACACTTCACTGTACAGTCCTCAAAGGAGTTCATGAAGAAAAGTATCACTGAGTGAGTTCAGCATATGCCAAAATCATTTTGGATCGATTTCGCTCACGGCATTTTAAGGAAATTAATTTTTACAATACACTTTTGGATAGCAGTGCAAAGGGCTTTGGTAAAAAAGTGCTTAATTCAGATCCCTCGTCTCAGCAGTGCAATTTCACAGACTAATCAAGAACCACACTCTACCTTGATTACCATACACATTGAAACATTTTCCCCCTGCTCCCTGGTGTTTTTCCAGAGAGCGTGGCTCCTCTCTCTGCATCCATCAAGTCAAGGGGAACTGTCTCGTATGAAAAATTATCATCATCTGTCATACAGTAGCTTCCTTATGTGTTCATACAGCTAGAAGGAACATTTTAGGAGTAGAATATTCCAGGAATCGCTATTATATAATTTACACACGCACACACTGCAAAAACAATGTTAAGAAGATGGTAAAGTTACATCCTCAAAGCTGCATGGTTCAGGCTGCTCATAAACCCACACTTGGACACTGCTGAGCATTACTATTAGGACAATTTTCTAATTACGTGACCACATATTGTTCTCTTTCATAATACAGCCTTATCTGTTTTCCCCCAATTTACAATGAAACGTAAATATATCTAATGCATTTTTGTTCTTTTACACATAATATACATAATCATGGATGCATTTATCAGCAGAAATTTAATTTAACATTTTCTATGGATGGCATAACGTTCTTTATGTACAAATCAGGAATAAGACACTTAACCATAAAATTAATTTCACTGCATACTTAAGTGACCTAAACATGGCAGAAAATTTTAATTATTACTCCTTATTATAAAATTAGTATATACTATATACAGTGCATTTTGCATAGAAACAATTTCTACTGTCTCTGCCTGGTAAATACAAAGCAGTAGTGCAGAATGCAAGAAAGGGACATTTAAGGGAAAGCAAATCCGGGGTTTATTATGATGTTATTTGTAAAATGCAGGATGGAACATCACCCAACCTTGCACAGCGAGCCTGAGTTGTAGCACTGCCCGACTTCAGCACCATCATTTTCTTGCACATTTTTGCACATGAATTCACATTAGCCTCTATTTTGGCTTTTTTTTTTTTTTAAAATATATTTTTAAAGACTCTGAATCCCCCAGCAATGGGAAAGCCTAAAATACCCGTTGTAGTTTCTATGGTGTGACACTGCAGTCAGAATGCTCTGTTCCACAGACCCCTGCTGAGAGCGCTCCAAACAGCCTTCCCGGTGGCGCGGTCCCGGAGGGCAGAAGAGTCCTGCTCTCCGCAGCACAATACGAGATTGGCAAGACTTTCCCAGCTAGCCCCGTCACAACTAACAAGGCTGAGAAGGGCTTACACGGACTTCCTTAATCTCCGATGTGCCACACAGCAGTATGCTTGCGTGTACATCGGTTACAAAAACATGCAGTGTCCAAGCAACTCCAAGTTGTCAGTATTTTGATAAGTTGAAACAAATCATCCCTAGTGACACAAAGACACTTTTCTTGCAGGAAGACTCTCTCCATCCTAAAACGCTACCGACGACTGCAGCTGCAGAGTTTTACCGAGGCAGGGAGAGGGCAAGAGTTTGCTTTTAATGGAAAAACTTCTTGCTTTGACACTCTTCACACGCTAAAAGAGTAGAATTGTTTTCACTCAAACTTGACAGAGGGTTGCTGTACAGCACAGATTGAGCCTGAAAAAAATCTCACTGAAGGGGAAAATCTTCAGAATGTTACAAGTGCCTTAAAACAGAGGATTAGAGAGAAAACCCTCGCTCTGCCATAACCCAGGAGATAATTGCCAATCACCCTATAAAACCATGTCCTGTTTTCTAGCCTCTTCTGTCCAGAAAGATCCAGTGCCCAATTATTAGTTTCCCAGCACTCCAGGCATTTCCCAGCTGTCATTGCTTAGACAACTGAATACACCACACGTATCATGGAAATATCCCAGCCTGGAGTTTTCCATCCACGCTCCTACCAGCTACAAATCCCCACCACCATGTGTGGGGCCAGCAATCCCGTCCTCCACGGGATCAACCTTCTCTCTGCAGAAGCACCTTTCTTCAAACGTGTTCTCCCAGCCTCCAGAGAAAGCTGGTGTTCCCAGAGCTGGCAAAGTATCAGCCTGATCTCTGTGTTGAAGGGATTTTGGCTCTCAACGGGGCTGCGACCAGGCCGGTCTTGTAAGGACAGGCTGTCCAAAATGTGCATGGGCATTACGGGGAGATATTGCCCACTGGAGATCAGTGCTGATTTTATTGAGCACAATTGCCTCTGAATGACTAAACCCTCATTATGGAATATCATTGGCTTGGGAAAACTGAGCCTGCTTCAAATGAACGACTTCTCCCCGCCACCCATCTGCAAATAAAAGGCTCTGGCTCTTGGATGCTCCTCCTCTGCTTGGCAAGACGGACACCCAGACAGAAATCACCATTCCTGCGCATCACATCGTTTTGCTCTTAATTACCCCTCTACAAAGACAGAAAGTTTACATCCAGGGCAGACTATCAGGGCTAAGCTCATTCAGCACTTAGGAGAGAAAAGCCACAATGAGCATTTGATGGATCCCAGAAGATGTGAGCGAGTTCAAAGCAGTTCTAAGAGCCTGGAAACCAAGCAAGTACATTTTCCATAGACAGATGCCAAGTATTTTAAAAATAAATAATTGAGACTTTTAAATTGGGCTGCTATCACCCTGTGCAACCTCCTACAGCAGATTTCTCTT